GTGGGATTTTTGGGTTTTTTGGTGACATTTCGTGTCGTTGATGATATTTTCTGATTTACGAATTTAAGAGTTGTTTTTTTGGGGATTTTTGGGGTGTTTTTTCCTGGTATTTTGGTGTTTTTTCGTGGGATTTTTGGGTTTTTTTGTGACATTTCGTGTCGTTGATGATATTTTCTGATTTACGAATTTAAGAGTTGGGTTTTTTTGGGATTTTGGGGATTTTTGAGCCCATTTTTCCCCCTCCCAGACCACGCTGGGGCCCCTGTTCCGCAATTCCCGCATGGTCCAGTTCCACTTCACCAACAAAGACCTGGAGTCGCTCAAGGGCCTCTACAGGATCATGGGCAACGGCTTTGTGAGCACCCCAAAATCCTCCCTGGGGACCCCAAAATTATACCTGGGGACCCCAAAATCATCCTGGGCAACCCAAAATCATCCTGGCACCCCAAAATTATCCCTGGTGACCCCAAAATCATCCTGGCACCCTAAAATTATACCTGGGGACCCCGAAATTATCCTGGGGACCCCGAAATTATCCCTGGGGACCCCGAAATTATCCTGGCACCCTAAAATTATACCTGGGGACCCCGAAATTATCCTGGGGACCCCGAAATTATCCTCAGGGAGCCCAAATTATCCTGGGGACCCCAAAATTATCCTGGGGACCCCGAAATTATCCTGGCACCCCAAAACTATCCTGGGGACACCGAAATTATCCTCAGGGAGCCCAAATTATCCTGGGGACACCAAAAATTATCCTGGGGAAACCAAAATTATCCCTGGGGACCCCAAAATTATCCTGGGGAAACCAAAATTATCCTGGGGACCCCGAAATTATCCTCAGGGAGCCCAAAACATTTCCAGGGAAACCAAAATTATCCTGGAGACCCCAAAAATTATCCTGGGGACCCCAAAAATTATCCCTGGGGACACCGAAATTATCCTCAGGGACTCCAAATCATCCTGGGGACCCCAAAATCATCCTGGCACCCCAAAATTATCCTCAGGGAGCCCAAATTATCCTGGGGACCCCGAAATTATCCTGGGGACACCGAAATTATCCTGGGGACACCGAAATTATCCTCAGGGAGCCCAAAACATTCCCAGGGAAACCAAAATTATCCTGGGCACCCCAAAAATTATCCTGGGGACCCCGAAATTATCCTCAGGGAGCCCAAATTATCCTGGGGACACCGAAATTATCCTGGAGACCCCGAAATCATCCTGGCACCCTAAAATTATCCTGGGGACCCCAAAAATTATCCCTGGGGACACCGAAATTATCCTCAGGGAGCCCAAAACATTCCCAGGGAAACCAAAATATCCTGGGGACCCCAAAATCATCCTGGCACCCCAAAATTATCCTCGGGACCCCAAAATTATCCTCAGGGAGCCCAAATTATCCTCAGGGAGCCCAAAACATTTCCAGGGAAACCAAAATTATCCTGGGGACCCCAAAAATTATCCTGGCACCCCAAAATCATCCTGGGGACCCCAAAAATTATCTGGGGACCCCGAAATTATCCTCAGGGAGTCCAAATTATCCTGGGGACCCCAAAATTATCCTAATTTGCTGCCATTTTAATGCCATTTTCTGCCGTTTTAATGCCAATTTCTGCCATTTTAGTGTCATTTTCTGTCATTTTAATGCCATTTTATGGTATTTTCTGCCATTTTATTACGTTTTATGCCATTTAATGCCATTTTTTACCATTTAAATGCCATTTGATGCCAATTTCTGCCATTTTAATGCCATTTTCATGCCAATTTCTGCCACTTTAATGCCATTTAATGCCATTTCTTACCATTTTCTGCCATTTTCATTCCCTTTAATGCCATTTCAATGCCATTTCCTGCCATTTAATGCCATTTCCTGCCATTTTCATGCCATTTTAATACCATTTAATGCCGTTTTTTACCATTTTAATGCCATTTTCTGCCGTTTTAACGCCATTTCTTACCGTTGTGACGCCGTTTTCCCGCGCCGCAGGCCGGCTGCGTGCACTTCCCGCACACGGCGCCGTGCGAGGTGCGCGTCCTCATGCTCCTCTACTCCTCCAAAAAGAAAATTTTCATGGGCCTCATCCCCAACGACCAGAGCGGCTTCGTCAACGGCATCCGCCAGGTCATCACCAACCACAAGCAGGTGCAGCAGCACAAGATGGACCAGCAGCGCGGGGTGAGCCCGCCAAAAAAACCCAAAAAAACCCCAAAAACCACCCAAAAACACCCAAAAACACCCAAAAACACCCAAAAACCACCCAAAAACACCCAAAAACCACCCAAAACCACCCAAAAACACCCAAAAACACCCAAAAACACCCAAAAACCACCCAAAAACACCCAAAAACCACCCAAAACCACCCAAAAACTCCCAAAAACACCCAAAAACACCCAAAAACCACCCAAAAACACCCAAAAACTCCCAAAAACCACCCAAAACCACCCAAAAACACCAAAAACCACCCAAAAACCACCCAAAAACCCCCAGAAACCACCCAAAAACCCCCAAAAACCACCCAAAAACCACCCAAAAACACCCAAAAACCACCCAAAAACACCCAAAACCACCCAAAACCACCAAAAACACCCAAAACCACCCAAAACCACCCAAAAACACCCAAAACCACCCAAAAACACCCAAAAACACCCAAAAACCACCCAAAAACACCCAAAAACCACCCAAAAACCACCCAAAAACCCCCAAAAACCACCCCAAACCACCCAAAAACAC